TGCTACCACCATCAAACTTCGACGAATTGTATCACATAACGTGATAGGAAAAAGAAAGATGTTAATTAGGAGATTCATCATTCGACATGGGTGATGTAGTGGGTGACAAGAGTGGATAGGCGACCCGTTTATCAAGCCATCTTCGACTATAATATTTCATATGATTACATTCTATTGAATGAAAAAAATGGAAAGCTACATATACTGACCGAAGATGAGTGAGCATGAGAAATTAACGTGCCTCCCCCAAATTGCCCGTCGATGCAACATCCACTGATGTAACGTGGTGCTAGAGGTAGAGGGGAATAAAGTCAGACAAGAAGAAAACATGCTCTAAGCTTGCCATTGGGAACGACATCAATGCCTGCACAGTCATTAGTAGAGCATCAGACACTGTAGCAACCACCTGCATTCACCCATTCGACTCAGTCAACATTTCAACATATGTCATCTCCGACATAAGATTTTTTTTTTTTAATTTCAGCACCGAAGTGTTTCGTCCCTATACATCGATTGTCCCTTCGTATTATCTCTTTGTCCCAATGCAACCATGTTATTCGTCATTTTCGTATTCATATGTTCCACCACCAGTATTTTAATTTCCACCATTCGTAATAGATTTCGCATCCAGTAGTGTTGAGCAGACGCCACCCTAGAGCATATTATACACCGATCTTAGTCTTAGTGTCAATGGTGGTATTTCACATACAGATGAAAATAACGATCACGACGAATACGATGATGATTACAGTGATGCTGATGCTGATGCTGATATAGATAGATTAATTCACATCAGTCTCGTCGTCCACTACAGTACAATACAGATGGACATATGCATCATTAGTTTTTTCTTGATTTTGAAAAAATTATATAATATTTTAAAAACTTTATTGTAATGTTTTTTTTGAGTTAATTGAACTCCAATTCCATATTTAGTTAATCAAATTTACAAAAATATATTTAGTTAATTGGACAAATAAAATACAAAAGATATAGTATTTCACTTCACTTGACATCACATCAAGAATCACTATCATAAATCCATATCAGGAAACTGTGTCAAGTGGACCCCACATTTCATATAACGTAAGATCCTTTAAATATCGCGTCTAATGGGGTACGAGGGCTTCTATAAATAAGGGCCCCATAATTTTTTTTCCTCACATTGTGTTTGAGTTATTCCAAATCATGTATATGTGGGGGGAAATTTTGTGGATCCAAACTTTATTTTTTAGTTTTCGACTCTGACTACGACTCAAACGATTGGGATTCAAGCTTGTCTTTAGATGTGGAGGAATAGGTAAATGAGACAAGTTAAGGATCATAAAAGTAAACTTGAAGAATATAATAAGAAGATGAAATTGGTGATGAAGAATAATATTAACAACAACAAGTATGAGGACTCACCAATTCGATGTATCAAACAAATTCGAGAGAGGAATAAAAAAAGTACAATTGTGTAGTTTATGATTGTAGTAAAAAAAGTAAAATAATATATGAAAAAATGTAGCTTTTTTATTTAAAATATATAATAGATTTGAATCGAATATAATTTTCAAATTTTTTAAAATTATTAATTAAGTTTTGATGTATCATCAAAATATTAATCAAACTATCCATCAATAATATGATAATTTATTTAAATATTGATTTATAGACATAATAAAAAAAGAACTATATGAAGTTATAGTTAGTTGAAATGAATAGAAGAAGAGTATTTTTGTTTCTTCGTATTCTGTAGAAATGTCTAATGTTAAGTTCAGTTCTTCAATAATTTTCTCTTTCTCTCGATGTTTGCGAGCGTACTGCAGCAAAACTGGCTCTTCGTCCTCTTGGTCTTGAGACATATGATTTGCTTCTGTGTTAGTTGATAAAGATGCTTCTTCCTCAAATTTTACAGTTAACTCGATGTTCATACCATCGACACGTTTGTAAGCCCTAAAGATCTTCCGAATGTCCTTTCCATTTGATAAGGTCAGCATTTAATGTGCTTCAGGGTAAGTCTCATCAACAAGAACTTTCTCTTACAAAAAGATCATTTGTCGTGTTGTAGATTTTTTAGCTCCGTTGAAATAAAATCATATAATTTATCTTTTTTGATATGTGTTAAAGGCAGTGTGGAAATAAATTTTGGAATGGAACACAGTTGTAGAAAAAAATCTTACCATTAAATATTTTTTTAAGAAGATATCCATCCAACATTATTATCATATCGTTTCTATAGTAAATTTAAATAACATTGCGCCTTGCAGAATGTGAGGCCCATTGACATACCAAATCAAATGTGTACGCTAGGGGTGCAAGAATCTTTGTAGTCATCGCATTTTACAGAATGCGATGTCCCTTCCATGTCAGAAATCTCAATGAAAATCGTGTTTTGCAGATCGCATGGTCGATGCCTATATAAGCATTATCTTCCAATGGCATTATTATTTAATTTCCAACACAAGTGTAATGATATTTATAAAAGGTATCATCTTCTAATGATATTCTAATGTAGAACATGATGTATCTACTTGTAAGGGGCTCATTTTCTGGTGGCATGACCTTGCACGAAACTTAGAGATCTTTATGTCAATATCGATGTTATAAGTTATACACTAGAAGTGGAAGCCTTTTATAAGGACATCACAAGGAGAATATCTCTTGCAAGGTAATGGATAAGCCTTCTTCAACACTAGTAACCTAACATTCTCAAGAAACTTATTGTTTCTAAAAAGACATCATTCTTAAACCCTAAATCAGTCATTAATCCAAACAAACAAGTCATAGAAGGGTGTTTGTTGTTGTTACAGTCATAGGCATGATTTTCGAATTTTGTTTTTATTGATACTTCTTCCATCAAACCTATTTTTCTCATGAACCTTTTTCAGCACAAGTAACCTAGCCTTCTTGAGAAAGTTAAGATTTCTAAAAGGCACCATCTTCTAGTGACACTTTATTCGTATCGCTCGTGAAACTGATATGAAAAATGGCACACCTCCATTCGAGAACCTAGGGCTTTACTCAAACCTAGAAACTTCTCATTTTAAAGGCGTTATAAAGAAAGTGAGGTCCTTTTAAACACATTTTGCATAACACAAGGTAGTGCTACATGGGTTGTGTAAGGGTTATTTTTCAATTAAAATTGTTTGGGGATTTTAAACTAATAACTCCATTGAAATTTATGTAATTTTCATTGTACTACTTTTTTAATTAACAAAATATAAATGTCCTAATCAATCATGCCCTCGTATCGATTAATTAGTTTTTTCATTGTAATACTTTTTTAATTAACAAAATATATTTGTTATTTTTCAATTTCTTTTGGTTTCAAATCATTTTGAACTCGATTTTTACACCGCTTAGAATGTCTTGTATGTGTCGATACTAGTCTCATTTGAAACATATTACCAATACTATGCCTTTAATCTTATAAATTATGTAAATTTTCATATTAACTTTCTGAAAATACTCTTCAAACATGTCTATCAAGCCATTCTAGTTTCTTCTTCATGCAAAAAACCAAGCTTTGGAACCGTTTTGAACGTGATTTTTACACTGCTTAGAATGTCTCGTATGTGATGATACTAGTCTCATTTGAACATAAGTACTAATACTAAGCCTCTAATCTTACAAATTATGAAAATTTTCACATTAACTATCCGAAAAATCCGTCGAATATGCCTATCAAACCATTTTAGCTTTTTCTTCATGCACAAAATAAGCTTTGGAACCATTTTTAACTCACTTAGAATATCTCATATGTGTCAGTATTAGCCTCAACTAAAAAGATAAATTTTAATATTATACCTCTAATCTTATAAATTACGAAAATTTTTATGTTAACTACCCGAAAATACCCCTCAAACATACCTATAAACACTTGCGATATGGGCTAGAAAAGTATATACCTCGCATTCTGTATAACTTGAGGTTTGTTAAGTACTACCCACGATAAATTGGTGCAATAGTTCAATTTCTCGTGGACCTCATATTTTGTAGAACATGAGGTCATTTAACCTAATATTAAATTGTATTATCTGAGAAGTGTTTTCATGTTGGAGAAGTCTTGCGCCCTATAGAACGTGAAATCCTTGCACGTGTTTCATAGGACGCGAGATAGTCCTATGAATGTAGTTTGAAAGTATTTTTTTCAATTAATGTTGCTTGGGATTATTTGTCTAATAAATGATTTTTTGTGATTTTTTAATAAAAATTCCGTTCAACATGTTATGTTGATAATTTATCGTGAAGACAAAGAAATAAATAAAGACATTTTGATAATTCATCTTAAATTCGACTCTAGTCGATATCAATTTTTTCCTCAAAAAGCTTGTTCGATAACTAAGCAAGAATTTGAAAGGAGAAAAAAAACTATAATCTTTCAAATACTTTTATATTTTTAAAAATCTAAAATAATCAAAATAATATTTAGGCAAAAGGTAACTTTTACTCCTGTAGTAGATATAATTTATCACTTTCGCCGTTATCGTATTTTCGCATCAATTTAATCTTTGAAGTTACTTAATTACATTATTCTATATCCTATCCCTAACTTAAAACCCTAAACCATAACCCTATAACCTATAAAATATAAATCCTAAATCTAAACCCTAACTAACTCAGGGTTTATAATTTAGGGTTTTGAGTTAGGGGTAGGGTATGAAATGATGCAATTAAACAATTTTGAGGGCTAAATTGATGCGAAAATACGATAGAGACAAAAAATAATAAATTGAGTCTACTAAATGGATAAATATGACCATTAAGTCTATTATTTAAATATTTAGTGATATAATGATTAATATTAATAAATTAATTATTGAGAAAATAATTTCAATTAAAAGAGGAATCCTCCTTGAAGTAAACAAGATTAATTAACCGAAATTGCTATGTTTCCTAGTTTGATTGAAACACTCTTCCTTAAACCTTTTCTTTTTCTTGTTTAAATTACTTACTCTTTTTTCCTATTAAAACCCTCTTTGTCCCCCGAATCCCAACCTCCAAAGAAATCATCAATGGAGGGTTTTGGGAATCACGCAGGCTTTGGTGGAGATGAAGAACAAGATCTTCTGGGAAACCCTTACTTGCCCGACCAGATTCAAATCAATGATTATTACCGTGTTTTTTCTAACCCTAGTCTCGGTTTACAAGGCCATGATGATCTCTTCCGGTTCCGAAACCCTACTGGTTCTTTTTCTCAGGGATATCTGTATGAAAGCCTCGATGAATGTTTTGGTCGGATGAATCTGAACCAGACGGGAAACGCCAATGATTTTGGATCCGGTTTGTGGAGATCGACAATGGGGTTGTTTCACGGCGGTTTCAATGGCGTATATCTTAACTCCAAAACGTCTCTCGGTGATCAAACCACAGTTCGATTTGCGAATCCCATTGGAAGTACTTTCATCGACAATGGCTTGCATAACGTCAATTGCTTCCCGTTCCAGAACCCTCGGCCGACGGACGTGATGTCACCGTCGATGCACGATCGGCAACTGGTTCTTAATCCCAATAGGCCGTGTCCGGTTCAGGAGCAGTTGAGATATTCGTGGTCGTGGTTGAGAGAACTGAGAGGGAAGGTCTGCCAGGTGGCCAGGGATCAGAACGGGTGCCGTTTCTTGCAGAAGAAATTGGAATATCCAATGATAACTGACGAAGAAATTGAGATGATTTTCATGGAGGTTAAGGACCAATTGCATGCGTTGATGGTTCATCGATTTGGTTATTATGTTATCCAGAACCTGTTCATAGCTGCCAATCAAGAGATAAGGACTCAGCTCCTCTTCTTGCTCGTTCGTAGCCCCCAAAGGTTCATTGAAGTTTGCACTGATATTCACGGGTATGAATATATATATATTTATATGTGTATGTATATAATGTTAAGCTTACATTAATTGTGATTTATGGTTTAGGTCTTAGAATTTCAAATCAATGGTTTAGAGTTTATTTCGCAGGTTTAGGGTTAATAATGGTTTGGAGTTTGTGTTTTAAATTTATGATTTAGGATGTTAGATGACTTACGTTTATGATATATGGTGTGTGATTTAGGGTTTATTATTTAAAGTTTAGGCTTTAATATGATTCTGAGCTTAAGATTTATAGTTTATATTTATCGGTAAATCACATAGTCCTAGATTATTTTGTTTATAATATTTCGATTTCATCCTGAAATAAACCTTGCAAGAAGAAGTCATATTTTAAAGAAAATTCAGACCTATATAAGTTAGATTTTATATTTGAGTCTCATATTTTATCTAGTAGTTCAGAGATTGTAATTTGGTTCTTCTTTAATTGTTTATATTTATTTGTGAAAACATATAATTTTAGATATATATTTTTTGTTTTATTTATATTATTTTGATTTGATCTCAAAATAAACGTCTACTTTCAATTAGTTTATTTAAATTTTAAAAAACAATATGTAGACCTTTATAAACTCTATTAGAAATTTCGTATTTACGATTAGATTTTATACTGGAGATTTTTATTTTATGTAGTGTTTAGACAATGTAATTTGCTTTTTTCTTTAATTGTTTAGGAGCCGGACAATGCAGAAAGTAATGGAGTGTATCACCACCAATGAACAAAGATGTATGCTCCTGTCTTCTTTGAAGCCTATTGCCTTTACCCTGATAAACCATAGCAATGGTCATCATGTAATTCAACATTGCTTGTATAATTTCTCGCATAAAGAAATACAGGTAAAGTAAACTCAAATATATATCCGTATATGACACTTGTTTTGATTATAATTTAATGTTTTTTCTTTGTATTTTCTATGGACAGCATCTTACGAATGTAATAGTAGCGAACTGTATCGAGATTGCTACCAACAAAAGCGGCTGCTGTCTGCTGCAACAATGGTTGGTCCATGTTAATGCTAAAGATCAAGGCCGTTTGCTCGATCCGATTATCGCCAACGCCTTGCTTCTTTCCGAAAACGAATACGGGTTTGTTTTTCTTTTAATTTCGTGAAGAACCGTGTTAATATTGGATGTTAAATGTAACGGACCGGGTCATTTTGTGTGTTTAGGAACTATGTTGTACAGTTTGTGATCAAGATGGGGAATCGTTATGCTACGGCAGCGATAATCGGTCAGCTCGAAGGGAGCTTTGTTGCACTTTCCTTCAACAAGTGTGGAAGCAATGTGGTTGAGAAATGCTTGATATTTTCTGGGGAAGAACTCTCTTCAAGGATCATCACAGAGATCATAAATGATCCTGATTTTGTGAAGGTCATTGGGCATGACTATGGCAACTATGTTGTTCAATCAGCTTTGCTTGTTTCCAAGGTTATTATTCTTCTATCTTCTTTTCTTGGTTTAAAAGTTTGTTTATTTTAATATCATACCTCATATTTAGAGGTTAGGGTTGAGATTGGGATTTTAGGTTCTAGGATTATAGTTAAGGTTTTAGTGTTCTCGGGATTTTGTGTTTGGGGTTAAGGTTAGGGTTTGAGATTAATTTATTGTAGTTAGGATTTTGGTTTAGTTTAGGGTTATATGTTATGATTTAGGGTATTTGTTAAGGCTATAAGTTTAGAGTTAAAATTATTTATCATCAATTCTAGGTTAATTTTAAATTTTAGAATTTGAAAATAAAATGCATAGATTATGTAAAATAAATTTTACAAATTCAATATAATGAATAATATATATATAACTGACAATATTATTATTATAACAAGTTTGAGATTTTAAATTTTTAGTTCAAAATTAGTAGTAGAGTTAATATTAATGATTTAGAATCTAGAATTCAGGTTTTAGGGTGTGGTGCTTAGGGATTAGGGTTTTTTTTTTGTTTCCCTTATCTCCTAATCCTATGTTTTTATTTTGTTGAACGCAGGGAGAGCTACACAATGCTCTTCAATCTTTCATCCGACACCATTATTCGTTCCTGCAGAGCAATCCCTTCGGGAGAAGGGTGTTGAGCCGAGCAAAATGCCACAAGACCCGCAAATAATGCAATTTCGAGTCGTTTTGTAATGCTATATCATCAATGTCTGTTCGTCTAGGATGTTTATGTTGTCTTTTTGGTCGGATTCTCCTGTTGTTTTTCGTGTTGTTGTTTCGTGTTGTTAGTTGGAATCAGGGAAGTATTTGATATTAGGTTAAGCTGAGGATTTTTATATTCTAATATGTGATGTTAAAATATTATTTTTAAATTTTAAATCTAAATGTTATCTTTAGAAATATAACGTGTTCCATGGGATTCACTTAAAATTATATGATTTATAAAGAAAAATGCATAAACATGTCATGAGTATCTGTAATCTGACCCGATTACTATAAGTACTCGATTTGTGAAAATTAAATCCTCATGGACCTTTTTTATTACATACTTATAGTTTCGAGCATCTGTAAATATGGATACTTGATTATGAAATAGCCCTACTCTTGCACTCGTTATATCAAGACCCACGTTTAAATTTTTGCAAATTAATCCTCCAGTTTGTAATTTTCTAATTTACTTTTTTCTTTTTTTGGTTTAGGGAACACGAAGTTGCATATATATTTTATTGTAGTAGAACATGTGATTTAAATTTAATAAAAAAATAAATTTAAAATGATAGAAGAATTAATGCACGAGGATTAAGGTTGAGTATTCGAGTTAATTGAATTGATTCGAAATAAAAAATAATAAATTAACGAGTCATATTTTATTTCACTTTTTTTTCAAATCAGATCAAATGTTTTAACATAGTTTTCAATTCGAATCTAAGAGTTTGGAGAAGTCGCAACTAAAGAAGGTTTAGCTAAAGAATATTGAGAGACAGTGTACAAAAGAACTCAAATTTGTTGCACTATGAACCTCTCTCGATGGTTGAAAACTTTCTGGCGGCATGACCAAAGAACAGCAATGGGTGTATGGCGGCGGACGCGACGGCGATGTTTTAAACTAGATTTTACTCGAAACAAGAACTAAAAAATCAAAGGGCAAACAACAAAAACCTCTATCATTATGACATCAACATGCATATAGGAATTGAAACTATTACAAAGGTTGCATATTATCTTCGTTTTTTTCATTTTTTTTTGGTAAAGAATGAAAAAGTAGCTAAATAACTACTCAGCTCCATTGCCAGCTTCAGTACTTCCGACACTTAAATCTGTGCCTATCTGCATTCTTGGTCATGCAATCTGCTATGGTATTTCCTTGCTTTGGAATGTGTTGCATCTTCACTTCCATTTATTTAATCACCTGCCTATCGTTTTATTTTTTTAATCACATGCCTATTATTTATTTCTATTTATTTCCGAGGCTCAAAATTGTGAAGTTTATGTACAACTAAAAAGATAAATTATATATTTAGCCATCTACCTATTATTTTTTAATCATTTATTTTTTTAAAAATCATATTTATTGTTAGATTTTATTTCTCTATTGGTTACCCTTCATTAAAAGATTAACAGCGAAACTGGGAAGCATTTTAAAATTATTTTTCACTTTCCATTTAATTATTCTTTTATTATTTTTTTGACAAGATGATGAATCTAATAATTGAATCTCGACTCACTTAGAAGAGGGTCATACTTACTTTGTATGAGTAATTGAGTGTTTAATAAATTTTTTTGTTGCTTTCTATTTAAAATTTGTTGTATTTATTAAATATTTCATTAGATGTAATAAAGAAAATAATTTACAAATAAATTTATTTAGTTTTCTTGTTCTTACAATTAAATTTTTTTCAATAATTATCATTAGAGGTTTAATTTTATGTTTGTCCCAGACTATTAAAATCTCATAAACTTATCTATTTATTCACCTTGTCTCTATAAAAACATGCAAAACCTAATAAAAAAAACCTCATGCAGTTGATGAGATCTCGTAGTATAATAAATTGTTACACGACGTATCTCGTCAATAAAATACGAAAACAAACCCAAGGTGTAGAGTATGAGAAAAGTTGCTAACGTGAGCGAGGCTGTGCCATTTCAGGTTCTAAAACAAAGGGTTGGGTTAGGTCAAACCCTCGTTAATGCCTACACACAAAGGACTTTAGATACGAGTTACGCATTAACACACAAATAAAGTTATAACTATAATTAAATCATCCATGTAATGTATTTAAAATCAATTATTACAACATATATGAATTCATCAAGCGATCTCAATCAAGACATATATATGATTTTATATTAGGGTGTGAACTTGAACTTATAAAATTTTAGCGGAAGTAAACTTGAACTTATAAAATTATAAGGGAAAAAACATATTTTCAATAGAAAATACATAGAACAAATCTAAAATATATGAAAATTTTAAATTTTCAGGAGGCACATAAATTTCTCGTTCTCGTTCCTTCTCGGTTAGTATATACGACTTTCCATATTGTTCGTACCACAACATGTAATTATTTGAAACATTGTAGTCGAAGATAGGTTGACAAACGGGCCACCTATGTTATATTTTCATCCACTACATCACTCATTCTGCATGATGCATCTCTCAATTAACATTTGTCTTCCCTTGTCGCGTTCGTGATGCAAGGTATCCAGGTCTCGTAGTGGTAGGGAAATCGTTTGGACACAGTTAAATTGTCGCAACACATGATCAGTAGGATGTCACTCGACTATCTCATAGACTATCAATGGGACCATCAACATCCAAACGTCCGAACTAAGACCTATTTCAGTCGGATTATACGATCTAATAGCATGATCATTGTAAGGCATCCACGGGAACTACACAAATATTTTTAAACTAAGTTAGATAAACTCGAATTAAAATTTGATTTTTAAATTACAAAAAATAAAATCGATTACCTCGTCTGTCATCTTATCAATCAACAATCTAAAGTCACATAGAGTTCTTGGTAGGCAGACATGAGTTAATGTAGCAATCCACCTATCATTCATATAACAAAATATAGTTATTTGTAAAATCCTATAAAACATATAATAATTTAAATTTAAAAACGTAGTTTGTTTCTAATTACTTCTGAAGTAGTGAAAATTCAAATGGGATCGGCTGCGTAAGAATCAACTGTAAAAACAACATTCGAAACCAAGTCTACGATTGTAACAACATCAAACAACCTCCAATTACTTGTTTGTCTTGATCAATAGCTTTACATAGCTTCCGAAACAAAAAGGCCAACATTATTGATCCTCAACTCTTATATTTAAAGTTCTGTGAAACGTGTAAATGATACAATAACATTAGATTCACTTTGTTCCGAAATTTATCAAGCATCAAGATTGCACAATAATTCGTAAAATACGAGCACGAAAAAATTGCTGCAAAATAAAATTATTTGAATAAATTAAAAAATTATTGTAAAAAAATTACAATAACATAAACTAAAATAAAATTTCAATATTATAAATAAAAAATTAAAATAAATAAATGTAAATTTCAAAAATTATCTCCTTAATTACGAGAGCAACATTGGCGGGTAGTTGCGAAAAATTATCCAAAAAATTTAATCCTAATCAGTTGCTCACACAAGTCGACCCAATACCGATGGGCAATACCAGTAATAGTTGTTCCGTCAACAGGCAGTCCAAGATGAAATACAACATCTTCAAGGGTAACAATCGCCTCCCCACAAGAAAAATGAAACGTATGCGTCTCCAGTCTCCGCCGTTCAAGCAATGTGTTTTATCAATGGAGGATGCAATTTTGTACCACCAATTATAGTGCCAACGAAACCAAAACTGGTTTCGTACAAATACACAAGAATATAGTTATAGGGGCTCATGAAACGGTTGATATAACATGTCAATGAACGTTTATACTCATTCAATTAAATAAATAAATGATGCAAAAAAATAATAAATGAATTATTTGAAATCAATCAATCAATAATTTATTCAAAATAAATGAATGAATAAATAAATAAATAAATAAAATTACTTCCGAATTTATCCGTCAACAATCGAATACATACATTCAATTAATTGTAATGGAATAGATAATAGAGAAAATATGAGAGAGAGAGAGAGAGAGAGAGAGAGAGAGAGAGATTTTAGAAGAAAGGTGTGAGGAATTCAATTTTGGGTCCTATTTATATGAATCATCGCGCCCGATTATGAGGTAAAAGACAACTCACGTTTTATATAGCGCGAGGTATGTTGAAAATACATGTAGAAGAACCTCGCGCTTTTTAAGTCGTAAGGTTGTGAAATCAAATCAAATTTCAAATCTGTTGAGAATGCGATAATTTGTCGATATCTCGAGAATCTTTCATTCTACGTAACTCGAGATCATTAATTGAAATATTAAATTACATTCTCTAAAAAATGTGTTCACGTTGAATGAATCTCGTACCTTGTATAACGCGAGACTTTTACTCGCTTTTCTTAGGACGCAAGAAAATTATAAGTGTGCAGTTTTAGATATTTTTCTAACAAATCTGATTTGGTATTATTTAAAAAAATTAATTTATGGGGTTTTTAAAAGTTTTTTTTAAATGTACTCGCGTGAGTAGTGTTCTAACTCTACATTTGAAACGTGACAATATATACTCATATAAAGTTATTAAATTATAAGTAATAAAAAGAAGCACCAAACATTATGACGATAAAGAGTGACAAACCAAAAAATCTAAAGGTTGACTCGAAAATCTAAAGGTCGGCCTGAATTGAAATCGTTATGAATTGACCCGAAAATCTAATGGATGGCCTGAACTGAAACCAATTGATTCGATATTAACCCAACCCAAAAATCAATCGATACGACTTTGACTAGACCTAATACCTGGTCTGAACTGAATTTCCATAAACCTGAACTAAACTCGAACCAAATTCGATCCAAACTGAAATAATCTAAAACCAAAATAATCAAATCGAACTCAATCCGAATAACTCGGTTGCGAGTTTGCGACCTCTATTTGGGAGGTCAAGACCTCTGTTTGTCCTCTTTTTTCATCTTCGAGTTAGCTAGTTAGTTTGAATGTTAAACCATAATTCAAATATAACATAAAGTATATTTAAAATATATGAATCAAATTTTAAATA